CTGCTGAGCCTGCACACGGGCCTGTTTCGGGGGCCCGACAGTTGCTGGGGGCCCCCACGCCGCACACCATTTTAAAAGTGTCTTTACCCGATGCAGGCCTCAGGCCTTGTAAAAGAAAAGCAGCACGGGCCTTGAAAAAGTAAAGCACTGTGAAAAGGTATCTCGCCAGGGCTCAGAAACGTGAAAGCAGGTCAAAGGTCAAGTTCTCTATCAACAGGCACATCTAAATCTAAGGCAAAGGGCATTGTCAAAAGACTTGTATCTCGCCAGAGCTCAGAAACGTGAAAGCAGGTCAAAGGTCAAGTTCTCTATCAACAGGCACATCTAAATCTAAGGCAAAGGGCATTGTCAAAGGACTTACCTGTTCACCAGGAGCTGTGTATGTCATGTCTGTTCGGGTAAGAGTGTCTGTACGTGCAGACAGTGTACCTGTTCGTGCAAAGGAATGTGTCTGTTCGTTTAGAGTTGTGCCTGTCCGGAAGTAAAGTCAATAGGCACAGTCCCAGTTCTGGTTTGGGTCAAGGGGTCAGTCCAGATCCAGATTTTCAAGTCCAAATACAGGCCGAGAGGCCACAGCAGCAGTAGAACTTCATTGGGACTCTATTGGGACACATGCAATGCAGGGTCTGGGACAAGGAAAGGCCGAATTGAGCCAATGCAGACCCAGCGAGGAGTGGCCAGCACTATATGGGGAGCTGCCTGCCTCATTTCTCGCCAGATCTCCACTGGCTGTTTCTGCGTGGAAGTGCTGGTGCACTTGTGCGTTAGTCAGTAGGAGTAGCGCTGGAGGAAGGAAGATGCACTAAGAGGGAAGAAGAAGACTGTGYGCTGGAAGGGATGCAGCCATAGCTGCCCAGCGAGTTAGCACTAGCAGTAGAGGGTTAGTGTTAGTTAGCTATGAGTAGTATTCAGAGTAGATCCTCATGAGAGAAGAGTGTGTATGCATCATAGGAGGAAGGGACTGAGGCCGAGAGTGTTCATTCAAGGTTGGGTTATGGAAGATACTTACCTGAGTTGAATGTGGACTGCAGAGGTGGCGCTGATGGGTAGCAACCACATTAAGGACTTGGAGACGATCTGCAGATGTAGCGCTGATACATTGGAAGTCATATTGATGAGTGGACATGAGATTTGTGTTGCGCTGATGAGCGCTGGACTCAGGGGAACTTTGAAACACTTTGTAATCATAATTCTGATAATATAAGCTTGGAAACTTGGTTCTCTTCTTCTCTACCTTTGTCTATGGTTAAGACTATTGATCACTGCGTGTGAAGATGATGCATGATATGTACACATCTGCGTGAGATGGTCCCCAGGACCCATGCAATTTAGGCATGCGCCCTGGAGGCCCAGCGCCTTTGGGGCCGCAGGGATCGATCTGAGGCAGCATTTATTTATTTATTTATTTATTTGCTCTTTTATTTTTGTCTGTTGCAGAGGTCTTTTCGGACTTGCAGTACGTCAGAACAGTCATACGGTCTGTTTAGTCAAAGGCCGCGTTTTGGGGCCGCCTCCATTTGTGGCCTGGCCCTTTTATCAGGTATGGTTTTGTCTGGTAGCGGACATTCCCTTACGCATCAGCAGGGAGGGCCTGGACTTCGAGTAGGGATCCAGATAGGCCTTTTTTAGGACAGGCCCAGGAGCAGGACTTTTCCTGCGATCTGGACCGTCGATGGTTCGACGGACGATCTTGCGGCCCAGATTTCAGGTCGTGGGCACAGAGCCCAGGCCAAGCACTATTTATAGCTGGGTTAGCTGCTGGACAGACACAGTTCAAGTAGCTCACTTCTGGGGGGGACACGCTGCTGGAGCAGCGCGATACTGTACTGCGTTAGAGGTAGACGTGTAGGTAGGGAGAGAGGCGGTGGCCATAACTGCAGCGGAGGACTACTTACCTGGGCGCCATAGCTGGACTTCTTGCTAGCGACCTGCAGCACAGAGAAACACACGGGCACGTTAGTACATGGCGGCAATTACCTGCAGGTGAGACAGGGAGGAGGACGACATCTTGTTTCTACTGATCTCGCCCTCAATTTCTTCTTCCTCCTCCTCCTCCTCCTTTCAGAGAGAGAGAGAGAGAGAGAGGTTACATGCAGAGAGTTTATCAGGCCCAGAATCTGATTCCACATTTCTGTGGCAGACGTTGATTGGACATTCGTCGCGTAGATGATTTTTGGACTGTGCTATCGTGATCTTGGTCTTCTCCATCATCTCCATCTTTGTCTTGCTCCTCCTCCCCATCTCCTCATCTGTGGTTTCTCCCCATGTGCGTGCTCGAGGAGGGACCTTTTGTCTATGTATGCAGTCCCTCCCTTCTCTCTCACGTGTGGTGTACGATGGGGTGTCGCATCAGTACCTGACAGGTCAGGTTATATCTTTGAGTCTTTCACTGTGCTACATTGTGCTATTTTCGTATGTATCTGGATGTACATTGCTTGTTGGTGCGTCGCTGATGCTGCATTGTCCATTCGAGTCCTTTTCGTAACTTTGCGGATCCTTTGGGTCCATATACATTGCTCGATCGAGCATGCATAAGAGAGAGAGAGAGAGAGAGAGGTGAACTTTTTTTTCATCTTTTTTTTCCTTTTGTTTTCTTTTGTGCGTGTGTGTGTGTGTGTGAGAAGGCATCTTTGAACGGTTTTGAGAGCAGGGGAATGGTTCTGTGGCACTCCGATTCTGTTGTTATCAGCAGCCACTTTCATGGCTCGTCTCTCAGCATGGAGGAGAAGATTTTGCGAAACACTGACTAAGTTGTCTTCTGTCAACTGTGGGTTTGCTTTTTACAGACTGGTTTAATCGGTGGACTCGGCACTGTGCAAGTTCCTGCGGTCCAACAACAACCAGCACTTGCAACTGGGCTGATGGGTTCTAGTCCAACCACCGTTGGGGCTGTTGGTGCTGTACAGCCAGTAGGGCCTGTTGGAGGGATGCAAACTGTAGGGGGGGTTCCTGCGGCACCTGGGACAACTGCTGCGGCGCCCATGGGTCCGGCTGGCCTTGGTCCCATGGGAGCGAACTATGCTCAGTATGCCACGGCTGCACAACTGGCGACTCCCTACCCTGGGAGTTTGTTGGGCCAGGCAGCGATGACGTCGGCGATGATGCCAACGGCAAATTCTACGGTTGTCCCATCCTTGGCTGTTGCAATTGCCAATAGCATCAAGCCACAAATGGAAGGTAATGGCACTGCTGTCATCGCGCATGTGCTTTTTTTTTGTTAATGGGAGATACTTTTTGCTCGTTTTGCTGAATGACTGCTCTGCATATTTTGGTTGTGTATGCCCTTGTTTTGTGTGCACAGTCAATCAAATGCAAAGGTGGAACTTGTCATTCCTTTTGCGAGACATATTTGTCGCTTTTGGCCAACTGAAAAACAGAAGGAAGTGAAAGGAGAACTGATAAGTAGGAATAAATGAGGACGTGTTTTTTATTTTATTTTATTTTTCGAAAGGAATACCAAGGTGGATATGGTGGAGTAATCAATGCTGCTCAGGGGTCCTCCGGCCAAACGGGAGGAAGCGTGAGTTTTTTGCTGTAATGTA